CTTCACAAACTTCAGCCCTGTGTTGCCTTTTTTTTTTTTTTTTTTAATACACCAAGCTATTGCAGACCTGCAGTGTTATCACAGAGCTTTAATGTTTAATTCACTTTGATTTGGTCTGCAGAAACATCAAGTGTGTCTTCCGGCAAATCCAAGGCATCTAAGGAGCCCTGCTGGGAATAAAACTCTAGGAAGTCCTTCAGAGAAATTAGAGAAGGGGCATTTTATTGGTTTTTACTACAGTCCTGCAATTTTACCCGATGTTTTCTGCGGTTCCTTTTCCTATTTTCAATGAGTTTATGGGGCAGGTTTTATTTTAATAGTGTGTCCTCCTTTCTTTACCTATTCTGCATATGACCTGCTATGGCTTCCAAAGGTAAGATTGAGAAAAATAAGCAATTATGTAGTTTGGGAGTGGGAGGGGACAGAAATGAAAGGTCCCTCTTTTGCTGTTAGATATGTAGAGTCCACTACAAAAACAAATGTATTAGAATCAGCTCATTAGAAAATGTAGCCTATGAAGAGGTCAGGTCAGCTTTTTTACTGTTTCATAAGGAGTTATAGTAAAAATTAACATTTGTTAGGGTCCAGATCCTTTTATCAGGATCCAGCCAAACTGATTGGATACAAATGGAGCGGGAAGAATTATCTCCAGAACATGGAGCCTCTGCTGAGCAGCTATTGAACTGCTCCATGGAGGCTTTTGGCTGAAATTACCATCCATGCTCCTTTTTGTATCTGTGTGGTAAAGATCTGTCTGCTGTTTGTTGCATGTAGTGATCACCCTGTCTGTCTGATGTAGACAGAAAAGGGTCATTGTAAGGAGGTGATGGCATATATGACAATGGTAGAGTTGCAGATGAATGAATGGCTATGGCAAGATCTGGCATGCCATAGCCATATGTAATCCCTGTCTGTCATGGAGAGACTCAAGGAATTCTGCACAATTCCTAGTTCTCCTGCCCTATCCTCTTTTCTACTTTCAAGCAGTAGAACAACATTTTTTCTATTGCTAGGAACCCACCACAACTCAAGAAGTACGAGCAAAAAATTGCCTCCACAACACTAACTTTCTGTTGGCTTTATAACAGGATCATGGTCTAAGTTATATATCCCTGACTCTGCCCATGCCATATTACTTGGTGGTTATGGGGAAAGCATCTTTAACTTCTCTATTTTGCCATATATGAAAGTGGGGAAGACAAAAACAGACCTACTGCTCAAGAGTTAATGAGTTAATATTGTCTTGGACTCCACATGCAAAAATGATTCCTCTAATCCGTGTTGTTGCTATCACTTGTGCTTTCTATACAAGTACTTTTGTGCTGACACAGACTTCCCTCAAGAAGATGTTACTGGATTAACAGTGCTTAGATGACACTTTAGATATATGTATTGGATACTGTATGCCTACTGGGCACTCAGAACGCTGATGTCTTGGCATCTTATCAGGAGGTAAACAGACTTGTAAAAATTCAGGCTAGTAACAAAAATTGTGGCAATTGATAAAGGAACGATGAAGAAAGAAAGCTAACCATGTTGGCTAAATGTTAAGAGGGACATAACTAAGCATTTCTTATCAGTAATATATTATTTTATTTCTATAGCATTTTTGATTTAAGACCCATAAAGATCCTGTTTACATTATTTTGTTATAATACAGATGCTTATGAACATTACGCCCCAAAGCACTCCTCCAAGGTAGGTAATAATCCTTGTATATATTTTATACATAAGTTAAACTGCAGAAAGAATAAGTAATTTCCCCATGGAAAGCCTGCAGTCAAGCCACGAGTAGCAGGCAGGAATCCTGACTGTCCTTTGCTCTAAATGCAGGATCACCTGATGCTGAAGTCTACTGCGGTCATAGGAATGCTTTCTGAACAGATTGGTCCCTTTGATAATCCAGATGGGGCAAAGGGGCAAAGGTTGCATAACTTAGCTCAGTAGCTGGAATCAAATAAAAGAAAATGTAGGCAACTTTTTAATGATGGACTGTATTAGGTTGTAGGATACATAAGGAAGTGGTGGAATAATTTGATATCAAATTGGAAGATTGGTCATCTGCAATAAACCAACACACTGCCAGTGTACCTTTAGCCCTTTCTGTTAGGGCATAATGGACAAAGCACTATCTCCCTTGAGTTGGTGGGTGTATAATTAAAATTTGCTTCGATCAAGTAAAAAAAATAGTGAGAAGGCTTTTTCTTTGCAAATCAGCTGAACAGCTTCAAATGTGATAAAATTTTCTTTTCTATGATTTGTCTGAGAGACTTATTTTTTGTGTGTTTGCTCAACTCCGTTTAGATAGCTCCTAGATTTTTGGGGTCAAAGGAGTGCCAACAAGCACCTGTAAACTGAAACAAGGAGTGTGGTAGTTGTAGTCATCTCCTAGTGTCCCTTCCCATTCTCCCTTACTTAAGTATACCTTTTTTTAGTTTTATTTTATTTTCTTCCAACCTAAGAGAGGATGCAAAATAAAAAACAGAAAAACTCTGTAACATATTGCACAAAATAAGGAAATTATAGTGAAGAGGAGGGGAAATAAAGAGGAGAAATCTCCATAGAAATACTGTAATTCACTTATGAGTGATTTCCACCTCCACCCCCCCCCCCCCAAAC